CCCCCCCCCCCCCCCCCCCCCGCAGGGCAACCAGGTCTGCTTGAGAGCTGTGAGCTGTGCCACTCGCCTGCCTGGTCATTGTGTGTGGCCTGGGCGAGGATCAGGCCATAGCCCTCTTGTTCTCTCCCCGATTGGCCTGGAGAGGGCCGTGTGTCGGGGCGGGTGAGCCTGCTGCTCTGCCGGAAAGAGCATCCCCGGCCCTTGCTGTGCTCTCTCTGCTGCCTCCGGTGGCTCAGGGTCCCCTCTTCTTGCTTCCTGCCCTGTGCCCCATCCCCGCTCTCCTGGGGTCTCATGGCCATCGTCGGCCCTCCCAGTTCTCACCTGACATGGCGCTTGTCACACCTGGTTTGGGTGCAGATGTCCGCTCTCTGCTAGTTGGTTTCTCTCTCTCTCTCTTTTTTTTTTTTTTTTTTTTTCCAAAGATCCGCCTCTTGTTCTTTGACACTGAGGGTCTGAGGGATCGTTTGAATGGGAGATGTTGGCTTGCTCCTGGCCGCGCTTCTGGCCTCAGATTCCCACAGGACGGTAGGGATGCTGAGAGAGGCTCACGTGCAGCTGCCATCTGGGGCGCCGTTCCCACCCGTCCTTCCGTGACCAGAGGGGTCTTTCCCTGCCTTCCAGTGAAGGGCATGGGGAATGCTGGGTGGTCGGGAGGGTGTAGGGAGACCAGAGCAGCCCTTCAAGGTGTGTGGGGGCAGCCCTTGAACCCTAGGACAGCAGGGCTCCACGGGCCTCCTCCATCTCCTGCTGCTTTGTGGGGACCGCAGAGGGAATGGGGCGGCAGAGCTGGAGCAAGTTGGGCAGCAGCCGCAGAATCCGTAGCAAGCAAGCGCTGCAAAAGGCACGTCCCTAGGAAGCAGAGGGGACCTGAGACACTAAAAGCTCTCCGTGGCCTGCTTGGGAACAGCCCAGTGAAGAAAAATCTGGAAACTCCTGTTTCCAGAGTTCTGTCTGTAAGTGGGAAGGAGGACCTAGGCTTTGAACAGCACTCGGTCCTCCCGCTCTAAGGCTGCTCAGGCCTTGGAAGTCCATGGAAAGTACCTGATGGTGCTTCACCCTCTGGTCCAGAGAGAATGCTGCTTTTGTTCCCATGTTCCCTTTTCCCCTTTTGAACGGGTGCAAACTTCGTTCTTCTCAGCAGCTGGAAGACATTCCTCCTCCACTTTCCCCTTCCTGATCCTTGAGAGCGCCTACAAGGCAGTGGGACCAGGTTTCTCAGGTCCTGGGGACAGTTGGATCACTGCTTGGACTCGGCTTCAAGTAGGGATGGTAAATATCCTGCCTGCATGGCATTACCCCCTCCCCTTCTCCCCCCACCCCCAGTCCCGTGCCAGGCTGCCCTGGCTGTCACAGAGTTCATGGACCCTGTCCTGGGTGGCTGTGTGGTACACGGCCAGGTGGAGCTCGCTTGCCTCCCCTGCTCTACGGGGTGTCGTCATGGGAAATGGAAGAGAAGGTGGTGGGCCAGTCCTTGTGTCCCTCTCCACCTGCCACTCCTCCACATTCCTTGTGCGTATCTCTTGTTCAAAAGGAGAGGAAGAGACATTAAGGGATGGAGGAGACTATATGTTACTTACCCATTTCTGAATAAATATTTGTTATTCCTACCTTTGAGCTGTTCTTTCTTTAAGGATTCTAAGTGGCCTTGTGGGACTTGGCACTAGAAAACAGGAGTTGGTCTCTGCTTTCCTACTCACCAGCTACGATCCTAGGGCAGTTCCTTCCAGGACTTGGTGAACCCGTCTCCATCATGGAGGGTGTGAGTATTAGTGACCATGAAGCATGGTCAGCTCCGACACAGAATTAGGTCTGTTCATAGGGAACAGGAGAGCCTGACTTTTGCCTTGGTTTGAAGACCTCAAATGCATGGGTGAAATTTCTCTTAGATCAATTACACGTTAGAAAAAAATTAATTTGTTGATGGGTTCTGTGTGTGTGATAAAACACACATGAAATTTACCATCTTTGTACATTCCAGTGGCATTACATACAGTCCTGGTGCAGCCCACCACCAGCCATCCCTAGAACCCTTCATCTTGTAGAGCTGAAACACTATTTCCGTTCAACAATAACTGCCCATTTTCCCCTCCTCCAGACCCTAGCAACCGTCATTATTATGTTCTAAGATTTTGATTACTCATACAAGATTTGTACAGGATTTGTCTGTCTTTGGCTTACTTCATTCAGCCTCATGTCCTCGAGCTTCTTCCATGCTGCTGAGAATTTTTATTTATTTTTTTTTTAAGATTTTATTTGTTTGACAGGGAGAGCACAAGCAGGAAGAGTGGCAGGCAGAGGGAGAGGGAGAAGCAGGCCCCCTGCGGAGCAAGGAGCCTGATGCAGGACTCGATCCTGGGACCCTGGGATCATGACCTGAGCCGAAGGCTTCATGACTAAGCCACCCAGGCGTCCCAAGAGAATTTTTAAAGTTGAACACTATGTTGTATGTGTCTGTATACCACATTTTGCTTATTCATCTGTGGACAGTTGGATCATTTCCATGTTTTAGCTGCTGTGAATAATGGTGTGAACCCAGGTGTACACATCTCTCTCTCAGACCCTGCTTACAGGGCCGCCTGGGTGGCTCCGTGGGTTAAGCCGCTGCCTTCGGCTCAGGTCATGGTCTGAGGGTCTTGGGATCGAGCCCCGCATCGGGCTCTCTGCTCAGCGGGGAGCCTGCTTCCTCCTCTCTCTCTCTCTGCCTGCCTCTCCCCCTACTTGAGATCTCCGTCTGTCAAATAAATAAATAAAATCTTAAAAAAAAAAAAACCTGCTTTCAGGGGCCCCAGGTTGGCTCCGTGGGTTAAGCGCCCCAACTCTTGATTTCAGCTGAAGTTGTGCTCTCAGAGTTGGGATTTCAAGCCCGACATCAAGTTCCACGCTGGGCATGGAGCCTGTTTAGGATCTGCACCCCCCCCCACCCACCTCTCTCTCTCTCTCTCTCTCTCTCTCTAAAAAAGAAGGACCTTGCTTTCAATTTTGGGGGATCCATACCCAGAAGTGGAACTGCTAAATCCTATGGTAATTCAATGATTAATTTGAGGAGTTGCTATCCAGTCTGCACAGTGGCTGTACCATTTTATATCTTCATGCTGGTTTATTGTGGTGTAAGTGGAACAGCCCCTCTTCTGGGAAGGTAGAATGGAAGTACTTCATCCCTGTCCTTTCCACTAAATCGAACCCTGGAGATTTTATAGAAAACAAACATAAGCCTGAAAGGTGGAGAGAAACACTAACTGAGGACCTTGGGACCCTGGGACCCAAGGAATTAACTGGCACTGAGTTTTTTCCTTCACATCTCAAAACAGTTTTGAAAAAGCAAACCCCCCCCCCCCCCCCCCAATAATGGCCAAAAAAGGAAGAGCTTCACAAGACTACGGCCTCACCCCAGAAGAAACCACCCTGACGCTACCAACATAAGCCAACTTGGGAGCTTAGGCTTCCAGCCTCACTAGGCTGTATTGGGGTCACCTCCAAATTCCTGTTGGGGTGGTATAGAGAAGGCCAGGCAGGGAGCTGGAACTTTAAATTGGTGTCTGTGGAGGCCATATGAGGAGAAATGAGGCCCCTTGACCCCTCCCAACCAGGGTGTTCTAAGTAGAAGTGGAACAGGATGATGGAACTGACCCCCGCAACGCAGTAACTAGGAGGCACCCCCCCGGGTGTCGGACATCAATCAAGGAACCTGAGCTCCAGCCACACCTGGCAGTGATTAAGCGGTGCCTTTCCATCCGCATCAGAGGAGGTGTGCATGCTGGAACAGAAAATCTAAATAAGATAGTGTTTGTAACGACCCAAAATGTCCCATGTTTCAGTCAAAAATAGACTGAAGAGACCAGGGAAACAGAAAAGAGGGTAGGGAGACAACACCGAGATAAAAGATGTTAGAATTACCTGCCAAGGATTTAAAAGCAGCCATCATAAAAGTGTAACAAAAAATTAATGAACACACTTGAAACAAGTGAAAAAAAATACAGTCTAAGCAAAGAATATAAAGAATCATTTAGAGCTGAAAAATACAATTACCAAAAAAGCAACGAAGAATCCTTGAAGGTAAAGCAATAGAAATTAACAAATTGAACAGAAAGGAAATACTTTAAAAAAAAAAAAAGAAAAGACTTTGGGGACCTATGACAAAAAAACTAAAATCTAAAAAATCATCAGAGTACTAGAAGAAAAATTGAGGCTGAAATAGTTGAAGTAATAGCCATATACTTCCCAGAAATGGTGAAAGATCTAAACCTATAGATTCAAGAGGTTCTAAGAATCCCAAACAAATCCAAAGAAATTAACACCAAGACACTTCATAGCCAAACTGAAGAAAACTAGACAGAGATTTTAAAAGCAAAAGAAGGGCACTTGGGTGGCTCAATGGGTTAAAGCCTCTGCCTTCGGCTCAGGTCATGATCCCAGGGTCCTGGGATCGAGCTCCACATTGTGCTCTCTGCTAAGTGGGGAGCCTGCTTCCTCCTCTCTCTGCCTGCCTCTCTGCCTACTTGTGATTTCTGTCAAATAAATAATACCTTAAAAAAAATAAATAAGGGGTGCCTGGGTGGCTCAGGGGGTTGAGCCTCTACCTTTGGCTCAGGTCATGATCCCGGGGTCCTGGGATCCAGTCCCGCCAAGCAGAGAGCCTGCTTCCTCCTCTCTGTCTGCCTCTCTGCCTACTTGTGGTTTCTGTCTGTGAAATAGGTGAATAATCTTTAAAAAATAAATAAATAAATAAATAAATAAATAAAAGCAAAAGAAAAAATGACATCTTTCAAGGGAAAAACAATATGACCGGTCCTTCATCAGAAACCACGAGGCCAAAAGAAAGTGGCACACTTTTAACATAAAGTTGGGTGAGAATTCTACATCCAGCAAA